GGAGGAATAGTCACAATAGCTAAGAAACACAAACCTCCTCTCCTCCACTCTTTCTGTGATTCACTTCCAGCACTGTGTGGACTTGGAGGAGGAAAAGGAAGCCAGAGACATTTGTTCCTTGACATTCTGGTGTGATTCTGTCTGACTTTTCCCGTGCCAGCTGGAGACAGGATGTAGGGTCAATGAATTGCCATCCAAAAGCCTCATCACACTTGTCCCACAATGTCCCTGCATCCCCCCAGGATGTTATGGATGGCCACATTGTCTTATGGCACCACCAGACAGGATGGAGGTGCTGAGGGCCTGGGGGCACTGAGACTTTTATTCTGGGGTTCTATTCCCTCACAAAGCCTTCTACCACTGTGTAAACACTGCCACAACAGCCCTGTACTGGTGGGAAACATGGAGAGGCTGGCAGGTGGGTTACAGCTGCTGGTGTTGACAAACACACACGATAATGGTTGGTGCTGGTTGGGAACGAAGGGTTGCCACTTTGTTCCTATATGGAATATGTGCTAGTTAAGTGGCACCTGTTTGGTGGTGACGCCGTCTGATCTGTGGTGCTCATAATGGTGGGTGCTTGTATTTACATGTAAAAACATAAATTCCTCTTGAACTAATATCAGAAGGCTAGCAACGCAACAGACCCTTTTGTAGATGTACAGTGCCTTTATAAACTATTCACACCCCTTGACTTTTTCCACATTGTTGTTACAAAGTGGGATTAAAATTGATTAAATTGTCATTTTTTGTCAACGATCTACACAATACTCTGTAATGTCAGAGGAAGAAAAATCCTAACCTTTCATTAATATATCTTGGTTAGATAAGTATTTAATCCCCTGAGTCAATACATGTTTAGAATCACCTTTGGCAGCGATTACAGCTGTGAGTCATTCTGGGTAAGTCTCTAAGAGCTTTGCACACCTGGATTGTACAATATTTGCCCATTATTCTTTAGAAATTCTTCAAGTCAAGTTGGTTGTTTATCATTGCTCGACAGCCATTTTCAAGTCTTGCCATAGATCTTCAAGCCAATTTAAGTCAAAACTGTAACTAGGCCACTCAAGAACATTCAACGTCGTCTTGGTAAGCAACTCCGGTGTATATTTGGCATTGTGTTGTAGGTAATTGTCCTGCTGAAAGGTGAATCTCCCAGTGTCTGTTGGAAAGCAGACTGAACCAGGTTTTCCTCTAGGATTTTGCCTGTGCTTAGCTCTATTCCGTTTATTTTTATCCTAAAAAACTCCCTAGTCCTTGCCGATGACACGCATACTCATAACATGATGCAGCCACCACCATGCTTGAAAATATAAAGAGTGTTACTCAGTGATGTGTTGTGATGGATTTGCCCCAAATATAACGCTTTGTATTCAGGAGAAAAAGTTCATTTCTTTGCCATATTACTTTAGTGCCTTAATATAAACAGGATGCATGTTTTGGAATATTTTTATTCTGTACAGGCTTCCTTCTTTTCACTCTGTCATTTATGTTAGTATTGTGGAGTAACTACAATGTTGTTGATCCATCCTCAGTTTTCTCCTATCATAGTCATTAAACTCTGTAACTGTTTTAAAGTCCCCATTGGCCTCATGGTGAAATCCCTGAGCGGTTTCCTTCCTCTACAGCAACTGAGTTAGGAAGGACGCCTGTATCTTTGTAGTGACTGGGTGTATTGATACACCATCCAAAGTGTAATTATTAACTGTACCATGCTCAAAGGGATATTCAATATCTGCATTTTTTTTTACCGATCTACCAGTAGGTGCCCTTATATATATATATTTTTTTTTATGGGGGTCGATCAGCTTAATATTGCAGATAGATTGTAACTTCTATCAATGTAATTGTCTGCATCACTTCCAATCCCCCATGTTTTTTATATATATACTCCCCTTTATTACTTTTCAACCCCGCCATCCTTTCCCTACTTGGGGTAAATTAGTGAACAACAATGCCCAGGCCTCTACTTCCAGCCTATACTTACTATCTACACCTTATGGACACAGTCAATTTTACAATAATTCTATTTTATTTGTTTTTTTTTTGTTTTTGCTCCTGAACTACTTCTACTCTCAACCTCTCCGATCATTTTCATGATGTCCATCCGGTTTGCTTCTATATGCCATATCTTTCTAACTGTGCTCTTTCCCAATAGCTCCCAACATACAACCTATATACTTATTATGGACACAGTATGCTTACATTATTAGTTATCTTGTTGTTATTTGTTATTAGTCCCATCCTTCAACTCCATTCAATACCTCCCATCTATCTCTTAACACCATCCATATAGGATTTCTATTTGCCATATATATTTCAACCGTACTGTGATGTTTTACAAAAGTTCTGAACCTTTCTATTCTCATTGCTTCTACAGATTGTGAATTAAAAATAAACATTTTTGCTAAAAGTATTATTATATTATTGATCGATTGACTATGACTTTTCAGATCACCCAGTAATGCTATCTGCAAGGTTAGGTCCAGGTAAATATTGCAATCCTTTAGCCATTCCTGGACCTGTGTCCAAAAACAAGCTACAAATGGACAGAACCAAAACAAATGATCTAATGATTCTGTCTCTTCACAGCAAAATCTGCAGAGCTGGGAAGATTGTATCCCCCATATAAATAACAAGAAGGTGCCCTTCTTTGCGAGGCCATTGGAAAACCTCCCTGGTCTTTGTGGTTGAATCTGTGCTTGAAATGTACTACTCGACTGCGGGACCTTACAGATAATTGTATGTGTGGGGTACAGAGATGGGTTAGTCATTTAAAAATCATGTTAAACACTATTATTGAACACAGAGGGAGTCCATGCAACTTATTATGTGACTTGTTAAGCATATCTTTACTCCTGAACTTATTTAGGCTTGCCATAACAAAAGGATTGAATTGACTCAAGACATTTCAGTTTTTCATTTTTTATTAATTTGTAAATATTTCTAAAAACAATTCCACTTTGACATTATGGGGTATTGTGTGTAGATCAGTGACACAATCTCCATGTAATAAATTTTCAGGCTGTAACACAACAAAATGTGGAAAAGGTTTCTGAAGGCACTGTAGCTTGTGTGAATCTCAGCTTGTATCTCCAGTTGAGGTTTCTCTCTCCAATGTCTGTCTCATTGTGTGTTTTGTCTTGTCTGAAACCTACTAGCAAGGTTAGACGGTCTGACACAGTGTACACTGATACGTCTTTATCCTGTAGCCATTTGTTCATTCTCCGAGGAACACAAAGGCTCTAGTGTTTACTGTTGTCCTTGGCATCCTCCACACAGCCAATGTCTCTCTTTGTTTAGAGGAGGAAGGTGTCAGTTAGTTAGTAGGCACATTTTCTGCGTAGCCATGCAAATGTAACCAGACAATGCCGTTCCTCATCTCGTGAGGTATTAGTCATGTCAACCAGACCACACATTACATAGAGGTAGATAGATATATCCTATTCTTCTTCAAGCTTATTCCTTGTCCAAGTGAATGTGTCCTCACCACCTTAAATGGAGTTTGTCCAGAACATTCCTTGCGGTGCAAGTGTGTTGACCTCTTGGCGGCAAACCAATCTATGATTGCCAGCCTGCCAGGGACAAATGAAAAGGACTGCAATGCTTAAAGACTAGAGTTGTACAGCCATAAGCTAGACAGATGTCTTCAGAGAGCAGAGAAACCCTGCCCATTAGAGCCTCAGCTTTACTAGCACTGTCTAAGATCCAACATCATTATTTTCATCAGTTCGTTTCTCAGTGTGGCATCGTTCTCCTGGCTCTCTATCTGTTACTCTGCCTGGAAACTGACCTGGAATTATGTCATTAACAGACGTGCTTCAGAAGGGAGGCGGGATGGGGTTGAAAGAGAAATGTATACTTTTGAAACAACATTTTTCAGTGTATGTATTTTTCTTTCATTTAGTATGTAGCCTCATGGCATTTCCATACGCCCAAGGCTGCCTGCATGCTGGGTAGGGGAGCTGACTGGAGGGTTTCAGGGTGGGGAGAGAGTTCACACATATGCCCTAGGTCTTAGCTCCACTCCTGGTTTTACACACAAGAGCTCCAGGCTTGTAGGAGAAGAGAAAAAACACATTCCTAACAGTTGTGCCAATGAGGTATTTTTTTACATATCTGTTTTCATTTGCAGACAAGGAAGAGCATTATCCATTAAGTTTATCAACAGGGAACTGCAGTAACGAACGTGTAATGCCTTCCTCATGGTGTGTTTGTGGCTTTGCATCAGGCATCAGACATGTCCTGAGTGTGTGTGGTTTTGAAGACATTTCCGAACGTCTCAAGGACATTTTCCATCCACTCAGTAACCTTGAGCGGCTATATTGGGCTCGTTTGTGCACACCACCACATCAGTCAGTCTTCTAAGGAGGTGCACTGGGAAGGGTGTGTGTGTGTACATCTGAGTCTACTGTTTGTTTTTTAATCCCTTACTGTGCAGATGTACTATGACATTTCACAACCTACATCAATGTGTGCTGAGCTCTGCTTCGGTATGCTGTGCCTTTCTGGGCTATGAATATGGTATATTTTCAGGATAGCATTGTTCCACTGAAACAGGTCTTCAGGAAAGGAGGAAAAAAGCTACTCAGAAAACCTTGAAGAAACATTTCACCTCCCAGATTGAATAGTGATGTAATGTCTGGTTTTCTGGAAATTGAAAATATCTGTTATTTCACAGATGGAATGCTGCCATAAAATCTTTGTATATTAGCTTGGATCAACAGCATTATCATCAATTATTCCCGGTGTACTTTATCACCTTTTATTATAGGAAAAGTCAATGTTGGTAGTTGAAGTGAATTAATGAAAGAAGAAAATAAGAAAATGAAATTCACATCCTGCTGGTTCAGGTGCTGGATGGAAAAAAAGTGTATGAAATGATGTCATCAATGGGAGCATATCAGTGTTGCGAGCATTATAAAATTCTCTCAGTTGAAGTGAATTAACGAGTTGCCTGTCATTTTTCTCTTCTCATAGCCGCTCTGCCCTTCCTCATCATGTCCATTGTGTTCCGGCCCTACCAGAGGGGTGTGTACTGTGACGATGAGGACATCAAGTACCCCCTCAAACCTGACACCATCACCCACGGCTTGCTGGCTGCAGTCACCATCTCCTGCACTGTCATCATTGTAAGTCCCTCCCTATACTTTCCTCTCTGACACATAGGTGAGCTAAATAACGTCTGTCTACACTGATTCCCAGACCAGTCTCACAAACAGGCGTTTCTATAAGCAGCCAGTGGACCAAACCAGATATCATATTGGAGTGTTGGATGTAATTTAATCATCTTTCTCTCTTCCCATAGATATCATCAGGAGAGGCTTACCTTGTCTATAGTAAGAGGATCCACTCTAACTCCGAGTTCAATGGGTACGTGGCGGCACTCTACAAGGTGCTGGGTACCTTCCTGTTCGGGGCAGCTGTCAGCCAATCACTGACGGACCTGGCCAAGTTCACCATAGGACGCCCTCGGCCCAACTTCATGGCCGTCTGCAACCCCAAGGTCTGCAAAGGCTACGTGCTGGAGATCAACTGCACCGGCAATCCTCGGGACGTCACTGAGTCCAGGTAGTTACTGAGGTAGAGGGCGTCAGGGAAATATTGTTGATGTGGGCATTGCTCAATGCCAGTGGTTAGTGCTGTACTGGAACCAATGCCTGCATATGCTGCAGCTCACTAGAACCAGGGTTGGTGACTACTGCTTTATGCTATGGTAGAAACACACTGAATAGATCAACTGTAGCCTCCACACAGCCATGACAGAAAAAGGTTTTAACAACATATTTGTTTTCTTTCTATTTTCCAGGTTGTCCTTCTACTCGGGCCACTCATCCTTTGGGATGTACTGTATGCTGTTTCTAGCAGTGAGTAAACTACACACACACCCTCATATTCAGCAGTCTCAAATATAGTCAACTGATGCAATACCTCTCCATTTGAAACAGGAGTAATGGGGAATACAGTGGGGGGAAAAAAGTATTTAGTCAACCACCAATTGTGCAAGTTCTCCCACTTAAAAAGATGAGAGAGGCCTGTACTTTTCATCATAGGTACACGTCAACTATGACAGACAAATTGAGATTTTTTTTTCCAGAAAATCACATTGTAGGATTTTTAATGAATTTATTTGCAAATTATGGTGGAAAATAAGTATTTGGTCACCTACAAACAAGCAAGATTTCTGGCTCTCACAGACCTGTAACTTCTTCTTTAAGAGGCTCCTCTGTCCTCCACTCGTTACCTGTATTAATGGCACCTGTTTGAACTTGTTATCAGTATAAAAGACACCTGTCCACAACCTCAAACAGTCACACTCCAAACTCCACTATGGCCAAGACCAAAGAGCTGTCAAAGGACACCAGAAACAAAATTGTAGACCTGCACCAGGCTGGGAAGACTGAATCTGCAATAGGTAAGCAGCTTGGTTTGAAGAAATCAACTGTGGGAGCAATTATTAGGAAATGGAAGACATACAAGACCGCTGATAGTCTCCCTCGATCTGGGGCTACACGCAAGATCTCACCCCGTGGGGTCAAAATGATCACAAGAACGGTGAGCAAAAATCCCAGAACCACACGGGGGGACCTAGTGAATGACCTGCAGAGAGCTGGGACCAAAGTAACAAAGCCTACCATCAGTAACACACTACGCCGCCAGGGACTCAAATCCTGCAGTGCCAGACGTGTCCCCCTGCTTAAGCCAGTACATGTCCAGGCCCGTCTGAAGTTTGCTAGAGTGCATTTGGATGATCCAGAAGAGGATTGGGAGAATGTCATATGGTCAGATGAAACCAAAATAGAACTTTTTGGTAAAAACTCAACTCGTCGTGTTTGGAGGACAAAGAATGCTGAGTTGCATCCAAAGAACACCATACCTACTGTGAAGCATGGGGGTGGAAACATCATGCTTTGGGGCTGTTTTTCTGCAAAGGGACCAGGACGACTGATCCGTGTAAAGGAAAGAATGAATGGGGCCATGTATCGTGAGATTTTGAGTGAAAACCTCCTTCCATCAGCAAGGGCATTGAAGATGAAACGTGGCTGGGTCTTTCAGCATGACAATGATCCCAAACACACCGCCCGGGCAACGAAGGAGTGGCTTTGTAAGAAGCATTTCAAGGTCCTGGAGTGGCCTAGCCAGTCTCCAGATCTCAACCCCATAGAAAATCTTTGGAGGGAGTTGAAAGTCCGTGTTGCCCAGCGACAGCCCCAAAACATCACTGCTCTAGAGGAGATCTGCATGGAGGAATGGGCCAAAATACCAGCAACAGTGTGTGAAAACCTTGTGAAGACTTACAGAAAACGTTTGACCTGTGTCATTGCCAACAAAGGGTATATAACAAAGTATTGAGAAACTTTTGTTATTGACCAAATACTTATTTTCCACCATAATTTGCAAATAAATTCATTAAAAATCCTACAATGTGATTTTCTGGGGAAAAAAAATCTCATTTTGTCTGTCATAGTTGACGTGTACCTATGATGAAAATTACAGGCCTCTCTCATCTTTTTAAGTGGGAGAACTTGCACAATTGGTGGCTGACTAAATACTTTTTTCCCCCACTGTATATGAAAGGCAGAATAGGACAGGATTCACAGAGAGGGATTGTGCTCATATAAGGGCAAGGCAAAGGTTAAGCTGAGGAATTTGGACACACAGGCTAATGCCCTGCTGGACTGGACTGTTATTGACCGGAGATGAAGGCCTGTGTTCTGTTTCTAGTTATCCAGTTCAACTGCCCTGGGCCTTGTCATTGTGTATGGAGCTATGGACCGACAGACAGAGCAGGCAGGCGCCTCGAGCAGACGGCCGGTCCTCAATGCCAATCAAAACAATTAGTCATTCATTCCCTCTGCTTTGTTTAGTCATGTCACAGGCCCTTTGATATTCCCTAGTATGCGTGATTCATATCTCCAGCTCCCTACAAGTGTCCTACAGTGTTGAATGCTGAGATTGAGTGTATGTGTGATAGGGGGGCATGCATGGATGCCAACTTACACACCTACTACAGGAGGAGCCTGGTAGCAGCCCAAAGGAATGAATGTGCCAGATAGACATTCTGGCAGCAGCTCTCCTCTTCTGTGAAAAGGGTTTTCAGTCCGTAGGCATAAATTAGATCAGCATTCAACACCTTTTCACGCTTTATGTGATTCTAAGCATACCGTATTTCAGTTTTTGCTTGGGAGTTGATTTAAAGATACATTCTTGCCATTTACATTTTTATTTGACGACATGTACTGATGATGTGATGGCTAGCATTGTGAAATAGCTAAACAACATGCTTTCATTAAAAAAAATACAGTTTTTAGACATTTAGCAGACGCTCTTATCCAGAGCGACTTACAGTTAGTGAGTGCATACATTTTCATACTACATAGCCACTTGTAGAATGGACTCGCACACTGTTTACATGAAATAAACATTTACTAACAAATGCTGTGTTTCAGACATTCATTGAGGCATGATGGTAGACTTAGTGTAACTGGGGCCAGTTTACAGTCAAATAACATTGCCTTATTTGGTAAGATGGTTAAACCACTAATGACCTCAATCAGCAGTAAAGGCAAATTGTCTACAGAAACAGCTCTACTAATGAGAGAACTAAAATATCTCCTCCTTCTCTTTCACTCTAGTTGTATGTCCAGGCGAGGCTGAGGGCGAAGTGGGCAAGACTCCTCCGACCCACAATCCAGTTCTTCCTGGTGGCCTTTGCGGTGTACGTGGGCTACACCCGCGTGTCTGATTACAAACACCACTGGAGCGATGTTCTTGTGGGCTTCCTCCAAGGCGCTCTCATTGCCATCCTCAACGTGAGTGTTGCCTGCTGGCTTTTTATTGTTCCTACTTCCCTGTTTTGATTTAACCTCTTTCAGCAACGCCTTTTGGAAGTCTCAGAGACGTGGGTGATTCATATTGGAAAGCGAAGCCAAGATTCGTATTTCAGACTTCTGTGTGCAATTAGGGACCCTCCCAGACCCAATGTTTTATGATGTCTCTGGCCTGGTTAGAGAGCTGGAGGGGTTATGCAGCGCTCTGTGTGTTCCTCTCAGATGTGGAGCAGCTGCATGGTGCCCTCCACAACCAGACATATACAATCACACTTTCCAGATCTGCCCTTGGTCCTCTCACTTTGTCTGAACAACACTATTTCCCTCCTCTTCTCCTTACAGGTGCGCTACGTATCAGACTTCTTCAAGCAGCGTCCTCCCCGCTGCTCCAGCCCAGAGACGGCTGAGAGCGAGGAACTGGAGCACAAACCCAGCCTGCAGATGGCAGGTGCAGAGCACAACAATCATTACAGCTACCCAGGGCCTGTGTGAGAGGGGCCAACCCAGGGGCCCCCAGACTATGTCAACCACTCTCACCACAAACTCCCACAAACCACTGGGCTGACTGAGGGGGCAGCACACAATGCCAGAACCCTCTATGGCCTGGGTGCACCAGCCCTCTTCCGAAGACATGACTCCCTCTCCCCATGAATGGGAGAGGACTTTTTTTTATCATGAATGTTTATCATGGTTGATGTTCACAAAAAATTTTGTATATGTTTTTTTGAAACTTTCTTTTACACAATAGATTAGGAGAGAGTACCAAACATTCAGATTACAAAGAAAGAAAGAGACCGTTCTCGGAGATGTCTAGATTAGTCCCATTTTCGTGCACCTTAGTCGTATGAGTAATCTGAATTTCAGTGGGAGTTTTGGATTGATATGTTGAATGTTTCACTTATGTGAAATGGACTGCAGAGAATTAGAAATGTTGATGTTGATTGTGTAAGCTTTCCTTGGATGTTCAAGAGTGATATACCACTAGATCACAAACAATCACTGCAAACGTTTGGCATAAAGATTTTAGAATTTGGAAATTAGAAATTCAGCTTTTAGCTATGGACATTCTGGCCTCTCTATATTTTTATATATAATTTATAAAGAAATCACTGCTTTAACCGTAACATTGCTCCATTGATAAGAATTGAAGGTATTAGGAAGGGCCTTTTAATTTATATTCTATTATAAACTGGGTGGTTCGAGCCCTGAATGCTGATTGGCTGAAAGCCGTGGTATACCACGGGTATGACAAAACATTTATTTTTAATGTTCTAATTATGTTGGTAACCAGTTTATAATAGCAATAAGGCACCTCGGGGGTTTGTGGTATATGGCCAATATATCACGGCTAAGGGCTGTATCCAGGCACGCCGCGTTGCATCGTGCATAAGAACAGCCCTTAGCCGTGGTATTTTGGCCATATACCACACCCCCTCGTGCGTTATTGCTTAATTATAGATTACTTTATTCTCAAGGTTGGAAATGTCTATTAAGCTAGCGCTGTTCAGGTATTTTGCAATCACGATCACCCCTGCTAGCCACTATGAGCCACAAATACTGTATCTGCTAATATTGTGACATTTTTCATACTGCATGGAGAATGTGTGTAAATATGCATATAAGTATGTTGTTATTTTTCTCACATGTACATAATGTTCTGTGGCCCATATCAAACCAGTGCCTTCTTGGACTAGTGCCCTTTAAGATTGCCACAAATAGATCAGATTCCAAGTTCACAACACAAACCAGATGCCTTAGCATGAGCCTTTAAGGGTTGTAATGATACAGCTTACCATTCGAGTCGTTTGTTGCAAGCTGGTAATGCTGTTCTGTGCAAAGTTCAAAGATTTTTCCTTTCCTGTGTGGACTGATGGAGCTAATTTGTGAAGAACTGCTCCTGTACAGTGACTATGTCCGGCCTGGCCCTGCTTGGCACAGGAGGACTGACGACATATCAGTCAGCTCTGGCAGAGAGAGGCTCACCTGGTAGTGATTGTGAGGCTCAGAGAGCCGACTCTGAGAAGTGACCTGTGACAGTGGAATGGCAAGGGCCTCCTGCGGAGACACGGTCCCTATGGACTTCCAGACTTTTAAAGACTGCTTTGAATTCTAGAAATGAGAACCACCTGGAGCAGCTTCAGTGGAAGTGTTGTTGTTATTTAACTGAATCCCCCAGCCCAAATTTAGCCATGAAACAATAGTATGAAAATGTTATGGTGTTTGAGTCACCTCCAGGTTTCCATCATAAAAGGCAATGTTCTGGGTTAGCCTTGTTCTGGGTGTTGTGTGTGTGTGTTCCATATGTAATCAAACTATTTCCATTAGAGGATTGCTGCCTTAGAATAGATCCTGGTTGGCCATTCTCTGTATGTCAAACATTATGCTGTTCTGTTCATCTACCCATAGCTGTTTATGTATACACAAAAGGATTCTAAATAAATACCAAATATACATGAAGATGTTTCAATGTCATATTTTCATATTAACTAAACAGCTGTTAAACAAACTGTGACCTGTCAGGAAGGTCTCATGGTAGCGTTCATCAAGGTTTAATCTTAATACAATGCATAATCTTGACACATCATTTGTCATACATTCCATTCCACATTAAATACGTTTGCATTCCAATGAACTCATTCGGTCATTAGGTAATCAAATAATTAGATGCCACGCTGGTTTCACTCTTGCAACACATATTTCACAAGTATGGGATAGGTAGTGGGGCTTGTGACTGATGTCACATTGTTTCTGAGTGATTTGTAGATCGTGATGAGGAGGGTATAAAATCAGTGCCATCTAGTCTGGACATGTTCCAGCTAGCTTGTTTATAGTAATCATGATTGCCAGCTGTTCTCTTCTTGATTATTCCAATCCCTCTGCACTGACATACAAGGTGGCAGGTCTCACTCAGAAATTGACATAGAAAAATAATGTAACTTTTGGTTTAATTCACAGATAGTAACTCCTTTTCATCCATTGATAAAATATTGGTATCTGCTTTAATGGGTCTATTGTTTGGAGAGGGAAAAGCCTGACCATAGAAATAAAATCCCTATGAGCCTGACATCCTTCCTTCCACGAGTAAGGGAATTCCAGTAGTTCTGCTACTACCATGGTTCTCCTGTCTGATTTCCTATTCTTGTGTGAGGAGTGTCTGTTTAGAGATTATTCCGTGTCCTCTTCGCTGTTTGTGTGCACTTGGCCATTAGTATTTTCACTAGCCATTGTAGGCAGTTTATCCTGTGTACATTAATGAGATGAATAGGGACGTCACAATCATGAATGTCTGTTGGGTTTCTGTTATCTTTGTTTGTGATGGAGTACAGCTTTGGAGATGCTAACTATTCACAGGACACCTTAGGACACTTCAACTGACATTTTCTGACCATTTTGACATAGCAGTAGCAATATGAGGTTATCCGTTTGATTTGTGCGTGATTAGTGTATGAGAGCCCAAAGCTTCGCATGGGATGCTATGCATGGTGTGAATATAGCTCAACTGGGCAGATCCATGATTTACGTGGTTCTTACTTGGAGACATCCTGTCGCGTGGCTGATTCATAGCCCCAGCTCTGTCCTGCTTTACAAGTTCAGTACAAAACCCCCTTGACTTAGCCCTGGCTTTTCAACAAGACTAATTAAAAACAAGTGCCAGGGATTGGGAGAGGTTGAGCAAGACTCCCCTACCCCCTCATGGAGAAGGACTGTAGAATGGGACGTCTCAATAAAAATGAACACACACATTTATATTTAAATAAACATTTTTGCAAGTCTTATTGGCAGCTCAATTGAACACCACAGTCACCCCTCATTTAAAACAATATTAGTCACTTATTTCGAAAGTCCTGCTTATGTATATACAGTGGTCCTCTGTAGCTCAGCTGGTAGAGCACGGCGCTTGTAACGCCAAGGTAGTGGGTTCGATCCCCGGGACCACCCATACACAAAAAAAAAAATTATGCACGCATGACTGTAAGTCTCTTTGGATAAAAGCGTCTACTAAATGGCATATTAAATGTATATTAATTAATTAAATTTTAACTTGTTTTGTGTTTCCGAGCAATGAGTGAGAGGCAACCGACCTGTAGCTGAAGTGCTACGACATTTCAACCCCTTATTCAGCATTGTAATAAGAACATTCACAGATCTGACTGGAGGTAACGTCTCGACAAATATGACTGTGCTAACCTTGCAGGTGTGCATTTATTATAAAAATATCAATATTAATCCAAAATGCAGGCATCATAATAGTAATTCATGACTAATAACACAGCAATTCACACAATTCCTTAAAACCCATCTTAGCTCCAAAGGCATAAATGGTCCAGGAGTTGGGATTCTGTGAATGGCTCAGGACATGGTGAAAAGTGTCTCCTCAAATGAGCGGTGGTTCCCAAACTTTTTTGGCCCATGACCTCATTTTGATATCTTCAAATATGGCAGGCAATTGAAAAACGTTTTAACAGTATTTCTGATTGTCTTCTCAACTCACCATCACATACTTTTAATATGGGGCTATGACAGTCAATTGCAAATTAGTCTGACATAATGTATCTTATCTCACCACCACTAATGAGAAGGGCCTCCTGTAGCTCAGTTGGTAGAGCATGGCGCTTGCAACGCCAGGGTTGTGGGTTTGATTCCCACGGGGGGCCAGTGTGAAAAATGTATGCACTCACTAACTGTAAGTCGCTCTGGATAAGAGCGTCTACTAAAATGTAAATGTAATGATGCATGTCATGTTGGAGGTTCTCAAAGTCAGGGGGCGTGGTCGACAGTGCGCATCTCATCTCTGCTGACATATCCAACCTGGATCGATATTTGGTTTTAATGCAGACGAGAGCACTGAATCCGGCTTCACACAGATTTGAGCTGGCGAAGGGTACCATGAGTTTTATGGTGCTTTCAAGACAACTGGGAACTCCGAAAAATACGAGGTCAAATCATGACGTCAGTGATCTTCAAGTTGGAAAGTCGGAGCTCTAGAAAGAGGCCCGAGCCCCGAGTTGGAATTCCGAGTTGGATGACCATTCAAAAACGATTTTCCCCATTTTTTTCAGAGCTCCCAGTTGTCTTGAACGCACTGAACTTGGAAGTCAGAGATTTCCGAGTTCCCAGTTCCCAGTTGTTTTGAAAGCTGCATTAATGCTGAGAGGGAGACGGCAAGGTATTCCCTTTGAGTCAGGAACCAAAACTCCTCTGTAGTGACCCGTGAATGCATTCGGTCAAATGACAGCTCGATCTGCTGTTCGATTTCACTTACCTGCATGTCAACTGAGCCAGGAACACAGTCAAAGTGCTCTTCCAAGCGTTGGAGGTGAGCAGTCATCACTCGTGTGGGACAGTTAGAGTGCAGAGGCCTGCCGGCCACCCTGCCATAGATGGAGCCCCATCTGTGCAAAAGCCCACCATTCGATCCCATGGAATCTATTTTTCATCAATATAGCCACGCAGCACACTGAATATCCCCTGTGCCGTTTCATGCTCGGGAA